AGCACCACCTCCAGTTTTGATCAAGGGGCTTGATCTCGGGGACCAACTGCAAGACAACGATACTTTATCATCAGATACATCAGCGACACGCAGTCAGCTCTGGAATATACGACGAGCTTTCAAGCTCTAAAGGTCTTTTCGAAGCCAGTGATCGACTTTTATGTAATATGTCATATGGGAGTCGCCGTGGCGGAGCGGCTAGACGTTCGCCTGCAGGTCGGAAGGTCGTGGGTTTGCTGCCTGGCAGAGAAAGACTATGTTTCTTTTCAAACATGACCTGGGCTCCCAAGTCGGCCCAGCTTTGAGTGGGTACCGAGTGCAGTCTCGGGAAGTAAAGGCGGCCGGTGTCATGCTGACTACATCATCTATGTTGTGCTGATTGCTCTGTAAAATATAGATCTAGCCCCATATTCCCTATACGCCTTAAGGTTTGGAAAATGGTCCTTTAACTTACTATACATACAAGGTCCGACAATTAACAAATGAGACTAACGCTATAAAAATAATAATAATAATCAACAGCTGAAGATGTAACCTGTGTTTATGATTCAAAGTAATCGCCTTGTGCATTGATACAGCAATTAGCACGAAAAAATGTCAATCAAAAATTTTTTTTTTTACATTTTCCCACGCCTTCAGGTGTATTAGGCATATATTGCTAAAACTAGATTCTACAGACCAATCAGAACTTGGTGGGTACTGTGATCAATATCATGCTGGTCACCTTTGCTTCTCAAGACTTCACTTAGTACCCATTTAAGGCTAGGTTAGCATGGGAGCCATGGTCACTTAAAAAAATTTAAAAAAAAAAAGAGAAGTTTGGAGCCATTCGAATTAGAACTCACGACCTTCGGAACGCAGGCGAGCGTCTAATTGCCAAACACTGTAGCATAGAATGATTTGTGTGGAATTCCTAACAGATTTAATGGAGTCCCTTTAGCATGAACAACAAGCAGCAGTCAGAGCAGCTGAGGAAACATCAGACTTGTTTGAAGTGCACAGAAGAATCAGGCTTCATTCCAACGACATAGGTGTTTCCAGTCAACAAAACAAAAACAAAAAAATTTTCAGGTGACAATACATCGTTGGTAAAAAAGGAAAAACAAAGATATGCTGAATACCTTTAACCCTACTCATGGATGCACAACAAATCTTTCCGTCCAACCCAACTCGCCGTGCGTGCTCAAACTATGCATATGTATATCAGCGCACACAACGTGCGTTGTTACCTATTTCGTGTTTGATCTGTTCATGCAAAAGGAATCTGGCCAACTATTTTAAATGCAGCGCCATATTTGCTGTATCTTTAAAAGGCATACATTGACAACTTGTTCATCCTGATTATTGCGCCAAACTGCGTTTCTACTTCGCAACTGTAATGATCCTATAAACAGGTATAACGACAGGGTATGACTGAGTGACAGAATTGGGAAAGTCCCTAGTGTGATAATCATAAAACATGGGGAAATGGCTGATTGAAAAAATTGGTAAAGTCCGTAGTAGCAGGGGTGTCACGGGGAGATGGTGAAAAGACAGAATTTAGCATTTCACGCGTGAATGAGGGAGCTGGGAGATTGAGAATGAGGTGGTCATTCTGTGACTGGACCCCAGATTAAAAGGCAGTTCAGTTGAATTCAGAGTGATAAGTATGAAAGTGGATCTGGATGAGAATCGAGTGAACGTTAGTCCTGAACGACAAGGAGCGAAGCTGTGTTGAATCACTGTTTAGGAGAGCAGTTGTGTTCTACGGCCTGTTGGTTATGCTAGTCGCGTACATGCCTGTGTCCATCGTCTGAAGCGTGGCTGGAGACTCAGAGCGTGAGCAAGAGGCGAGTTTGCCCGAATGGCGTAAGTGATTAGTTCTACTGTTGATTCTTGTCGCTTGTGTTGTGTTGATAATAAACCTGTGAATTGATGATAACTTTCTTCGACTGTCATTTAAAGACGTGTGACAGTTGGAGAGAAGAGAAGTTTGGCTGGAATAAAATGTGACATAACACCTAGACAACAGAGCCAGTGTTGAACCTACACGAGGTTGACTAAATGGGGAGGAGACACATTACATGAACCATCTGGAACTAATAGAGAGAAACCTTACCTATGACTGTGTTCCTGACACTGGCGACTCCTCCCTTGCCCCACTTGCTGGGGTGGGATGGGTCACTGTATGACTTTAGAAACGGCAGGGTGGAGGGGAGGGCAAACAACAGGATGCAGATAAGTATGGATGAAGCTCCGTCCTTGACCCTAGGGGGAGCCAGATGAAAGTTAAAAATTAAACTCGGGAAAATATTCAATAGTTTCGACTGTTAATTTTTAAAAATGTGGACACAAACAAAACATTGCATAATTCATTGCCTGATGTTTTTCGCTATATCTCATCCGGTCCCCAGGGGGCTGCGTGATCTCGAGGAACGGTGTCCGCCTTGAGTGCCAGTGGTTCCGGGTTCAATCTCCAGTAAGGGTTGGGTTTTTTTTTCAAGTGGATAGTCTCTGGCTAGAGAGATCGGACGCTCTTATGCATTGATGCGCACGTAAAAAAATATCCCTTGCAGTTGGACATCGAAAAGAGTAGCCTAACGGCGTTGCCCAGGAAAAAATTTAGAGTTATAAATCTACTCAAAAAAGTATTTCAGGATCCTCACCGGTGCAACAGAGCCTGTGCACTTTGGTGAGCTTCTTCGAACCCAGACTAGAGTTAAAAGAAGAACCGGGCGCTTATGGGATACTACCCCATGTGCCATGATGTTAATCCGTTGTTTGAATCTCAAACATCCGGTTCATTCCCAGGGAGTCAAATCAACATTCAATTAGGCACAAAAATGAATACTTTTCACTGAAATAAAAAGTCAAATCTAGGAATGGTTGGATCTATGTCCACAATATAGGTTGCAGGCCCAATTGTGTTTCTCGTGGGGAAAAAAAAGAATAATGTTCCTCAACAAGCATGTCGTGATAGACAACAGATTAAAGATGATTAAAAAGGGGTCCATTCAGACAGATTTCATTCGTCTGATTGTGGAGGCATCTTCGGAGCTGCATCCTTGTGAAGCTGTCGCTTGTCTATCTCTAATTTGACAATTTAAATGTTTATGGTAGCTTCATGTCGCTACCGACACAGAAAATATTTTGAAAAAATTATAGATTCGATAAATTGTGCCGTACATAAAAAGACAGAAACAAAGAACGAAAGATAGAAGGAAAAAAATTTCAAAGCATTTTTTGAAAGACGGAAAGACAAAAAGAACGAACGAAACGAAGAAAAAAGACAGACAGATAGATTAGCTAGATTAGATAGATAGATAGATAGATAGACAGACAGACAGACAGACAGACAGACAGACAGACAGACAGACAGACAGACAGACAGACAGACAGACAGACAGACCGACCGACCGACCGACCGACGACCGACCCGACCGACCGACCGACCCGACCGACCGACCGACCGACCGACCGACCGACGACCGACCGACCGACCGACCGACAGACCGACCCGACCGACCGAACCGACCCGACCGACCGACCGACCGACCGACCTGACGGACCGACCGACGACCGACCGACCGACCGACCGACCGACCGACCGACAGACCGACAGACCGACAGACGACAGACCGACCGACCGACCGACCGACGACCGACAGACAGACAGGACCGACAGACCGACCGACCGACCTACCGACCGACCGACAGACCGACAGACCGACAGACCGATAGACCAGACAGACAGACAGACAGACCCGACCGACAGACGACCGACCGACCGACGACCGACAGACCGACAGACAGACAGGACAGACCGACAGACCGACAGACAGACGACAGACAGACAGACCGACAGACCGACCGACGACCGACCGACAGACCGAAACACGACCGACCGACCGACCGACCGACCGACCGACCGATACGATCCAGACCGATAGACTCGAACAGACAGACCGACCGACAGACCGACCGACGACCGATCAGACAGACAGGATAGACAGACAGACAGATAGACAGACAGACAGACAGACAGACAGACAGACAGGACAGACAGACGACCAGACAGACAGACAGACAGACAGACAGACAGACAGACATAGACAGACAGATAGATAGACAGACAGACAGACAGATAGATAGATAGATAGATAGATAGATAGATAGATAGATAGATAGATAGATAGATAGATAGATAGATAGATAGATAGATAGATAGATAGATAGATAGATAGATAGATAGATAGATAGATAGATAGATAGATAGATAGATAGATAGATTATAGATAGATAGATAGATAGATAGATAGATAGATAGATAGATAGATAGATAGATAGATAGATAGATAGATAGATTAGATAGATAGATAGATATAGATAGATAGATAGATAGATAGATAGATAGATAGATAGATAGATAGATAGATAGATAGATAGATAGATAGATAGATAGATATATAGATAGATAGATAGATAGATAGATAGATAGATAGATAGATAGATAGATAGATAATGATAGATAGATAGATAGATAGATAGATAGATAGATAGATAGATGATTTGATAGATAGATAGATATGATAGATAGATAGATAGATATCAGATAGATAGATAGATAGATAGATAGATAGATAGATAGATAGATAGATAGATAGATAGATAGATAGAAGATTAGATTAGATAGATTAGATAGATAGATAGATAGATAGATAGATAGATAGTATAGATAGAAGATAGATAGATAGATAGATAGATAGATATATATAGATAGACGTAGATAGAAATAGAGAGAGAAGAGCGCGCGCGAGAGAGATAGAGATTACACAGAGATAGAACTATGGTAAATGTTTGATTTTGAACACCAGAGTGAGACAAATCAAGCAAGAGATCTTTTAAATGCGTCGACTATGACACAAACCAATGAAATACTAAGCAATCGAGTAAGTGATCAATCAAGCAAATTGAAACAATGACAGATCATTAGATGAGCAATAGAAATCCTCAGTGAATGAGTGAGCGAGCTAGTGTAAGTAAACTTACTCAGGCGTGAACGATTTCCCCCAGCCAGACACGCCTCCCAGATCACGAGTTATCCACAGAGCCAATAAAACGATGAAGAGCACTGACACCATCACTTGACCTGCTCTGGAGAAAGAGAACATCCTTAACCTCTCGCCTCTAATCACTTTTTATAATCATAAATAAACAGATGGGGAGTGGCAAGGCCTTGGGCCGTAAATAATATATTATCAATATATATATTATAATATATATATTATATATATATATAGTGTATGTGTGTTGTGTGTGTGTGTTTGTGTGTGTGTGTGTGTGTGTATAAACTAACAATTGTTGTTGTGTTTCTTATTCGATCTATGCTTGGAATTAGCCTATGGTTTCATCTCAATGGCTTGAGATTATTTCTGACACATTTCATAGTTGTGGATTTCAAGCTGTGCGACAGAAACGGCCAACGAAGAGTTCCTTTATGGGGTGCCGAGTCGTCATGTTCTTAGTACACCTGTTTTCATAGCGAGGCGCACAGGCCACTGGTGTGGTGGGGGAGGGCGGATAACAGGTTCGATTCCAGGCTTAGAGCTTTCGATTTGCATATTGTTTAGTGTGTCCGCCTATCTTTCTATTTCTTCCTGTGAGAGCCCATAAATAGATTGTCTAATCGTGTACTGTATATTTATAATATCTCTTTTAATCAGAATGCAGCAACTGCTACTCACGTTCCCTGAAAATAAAACCGTGTCTTACATATTTTGCTTAAAGATTTAAAAATCTATATTTATTCATGTATTAAAAAAAAAGTGAGACATGATGGCACACACAAAAGCGACGAGAAATTGATAACGACAAAACTCAGCATCTTTGTTTTATTTCACAAGTGTGACGAACCTTGAATTATGAACTACTATCTATTCATTATCAAGTGAGCACCAATAGAGTCAGTGCTCCGACTGGCCATTCGGCGACAAATCTCTTCTTCTAGCTGACGATCTTAGTTGTATTTTTGTGTGTAAAATATGGTATTAAAATGTGGACTTGTCGTTCATTCAAGCTCTCCCTCATTTTATTATTTCCCTTTTTAAGTTTAGCAAAAGATTTCTCTGTGGGCATTTTGTGTGTGCGAGGCAGGATTTTTCTAGCACGAAAGTGGTCACAAGACATTATCGTGAAAAACCAACCTGATAGTCTGACCTGAGCATTCGAAACATAAAACGAAGAAAATGAAGAAGAAGAAGAAGAAGAAGAAGAAGAAGAAGAAGAAGAAGAAGAAGAAGAAGAAGAAGAAGAAGAAGAAGAAGAAGAAGAAGAAGAAGAAGAAGAAGAAGAAGAAGAAGGAGGAGGAGGAGGAGAAGGAGGAGGAGGTGAAGAAGAATATACTAGCTCTGTTCTCTTTCTGCAGTTGTTCTAACCACCTGCTGACAGGGTCGCACACATTACTAACACCTTAGCCCCAGCGACGATCTCCGGTGATCTGTGTAAAAAATTGCACCTGTAAACCGATCGGCACAGCCGTGAAGCGAACCCATGATCTTTATAGCTCGAACAAACCACTTGACTACCTGGCCACAGGAGTCCCACATATTTGTTCTACTAGTAACTAAAGTCCCGTTCCTTGTAGAAAAGTATGTATGCTATATATACATGCTATCGCTGCTAAAACATTTCTGACATCTGAAGGTGTAGATTTTGTTCAAAATAAAGTTTATATTCACCAGATGGTTGAGCGTCATTCAGAAAGGTATTTATACTCTTACAAGAGTGACTAATTTCCTGTAGAGCTGGTTGTATAGTAACATTTAAAGCACTAATATCCTGTAGAAATATATGTACACTTACACTAGAGGGCCCAATTTCTTGTACAGCTGTATGTATAGTAACATTTGAAGGGCTAATATCCTGTACAATATATATGTATACTTACACTAGAGGGCCCAATTTCTTGTAATCCTCCCGGATTGACGCGCTGATTCGTTTGGATCTTTCTTTATGGTCTTCAGTTTTTGAACAGCTGTCAGGGGAAAGTACACACGAATTTTACAAAAGAAATGGGTTACGTACCTTGCATCATAAGTGCAATGTGTTTTTGGAAGCAATACTTGATACATTTTAAAGCCAGTTGAAGACTTTCATTCGTTCAATCAAGTCAAATGTCTTCATCATTGGCCGTAAACGCGCAGTCACGTCTTTCATCTCTCATTGTTTACACTTTTTGAAGTCTTTCTTCATTTTGTTTACAGGATATCACAAATTGCAATATGCAGTTTTTTTTTTTTTAAACCTCAAGTCCATAACGTACATAAACGTCAGAACAAACCATCTTACAGCTTTGTTAGTCCGGTACTTTCTTTTAATCCAGTTTCGTCCTTTTAGGATGAAATTTTTTTTGTTTTTTGAAGCCCCACCATGGCTATTGCCAGGGGCCGCAATATAAGCAAGCCATAAATATGGCCAATTGTCTGAACGCGGTTTCTGGGACCTCTCCACGGTGATCCTCATCCACATGGTGGCACTTTGTGTCATCGGGTGTTTATCGCTTGTGCGATGTCCTAGTAGAAAGTCAGTCAGTCAGCCATTTTACGCACCATTTGCTACACCTGATATTATCGTTATCTCGCCGTCCTTTTCAGGATGCAATTTTTTGTTGTTGTGAAGCCCTACTCTGGCTCATGCCAGGGGCCGCAATATAGCCAGGACCATAAATATGGCCTAATGGCTGAACGCGGTTTCTGGGACCTCTCCACGGTGATCCTCATCCACATGGGAGCACTTTGTGTCATCGTGTGTTTATCGCTTGTGCGATGTCCTAGTGGGGTAGAAAGTCAGTCAGTCAGCCATCTTAGGCACCATTTGCTACACCTGATATTATCGTTATCTGGTCGTCCTTTTTCCACATGGTGGCACTTTGTGTGTGTTTATCGCTTGTGTGATGTCCTGGTGGGGTAGAAAGTCAGTCGGACAAACGATCTTCCGCACCGATTTGCTTTAACTCCCAGTTTGTAAAGGGTCCTAAGCTGACCCCTTCCCCATTCTCCCTTCACCCCCTTTACCCCCCCCCCCCCCCCCCTTTATATTTAGAAGTTCTCTTTTCCACCAAGCACATCTGATTTAGGAAAATATTTAATTATTCGCCTTTTATGTTATGCTATGGGAGCGGCTGACCGAATGATTAGAACGATAGGCTCTTGAGCGCGAGATCCGGGTTCGAATCCTCGGTAAGATGGGGATTTTTTTTTGTTGGGGGCAAAATGAAATCCTTACCTGCACAGTCAAGCTGTGCAACATATAAAAGCCTAGTAATTGGCAGTTTTATGATATACTTGTTGAACAACACGTCTGTCCTTAGCTCCCATGTATGGCCCCATCAAAATTAAGTGGACCCTTAGCATAGTTTTTGACTGTTGTGTTTTTGTTTGGGGGGGGGGGGAGGGGCGGGGGTGGGGGAGGGGGAGGATTTACGTACAGTAGTTTGCCATTGCTTACTTGCGGTCGGCTCTGCATACTACTGTCGAAAACCAACGCAAGGCAAACAAAAAATGGCCTGCACTTGGGATCGAACCCGACACCCTGGCATTTTGATGCGCGCTCGCCACGCATAGACCAACAAAGCTAGCATATTAGCTTTAATCTTGACTAGGTTAATATTCCTTTGCCTGTGACGCATATCAGCTACAAGTAACCAACACACATCTGTATGCCCATGTAGAGGGCAAGGACTGAGCAGACCACTCGGTAGGTACTGTAATAATCTAAGAAAGAAGAAGTATGGACAAAGCAGAAATATTCAGTGCTGTACGGACTAGACTTGGAGATAAAGAGTCTATGACGCTAACATGATTACGTGGCCTAACGTTGAAGCCTTGTGAAGCAAGTCTATGCCATCTTCCATTTCGAGCTAAGAGACACTGTCATGAAACTTTTTTGTGTGAACAGCCAAAAGAGCTCCCTCGAAGTGGCTGCTGCATTGGGGTACTGCGCGCGAATGCTAATGGTCAATGTGTAGTGATGGTGGGGGAGGTAAGAGAACAAAACCACATAACATACCACACGACAACATTATTGAAGGGATAAAGAACTGACGTTATTACACTGAAAGCATTCTCATAGCGCTCCACACCTTTTTTTAGTATCCCACTCATTAGACAGTAAGTAAGTAAATCAATTTCACCCCACAGGACATCACACAGAGCGACAAACACGCAAAATGTCACCCGTGGAGAGGTCCCGGAAAACCCGTTCAGCCGTTAGGGCCATACTTAAGGCCCGGCTATATTTAGGGCCAACGGAAAAAGCCAGGGTGGGGCATCAAAATAAATTAAAAAAAAAAAAAAATTGCATCCCACATGGGAACGATTAGAGTAATTATTAGATAACTAGACGTCCTATATTGATGATGTTTTTTTCCACGGTCTGCTGAAAGGTTCTCCGGTTTTTTTTTTTTTTACCAGTGTTTAGAAAGACCGTAACATCCCGTGCTATGGATGCTCTGTTTTGCTACATAATTTATTTGATAACACAGGGCCTTCGCAGACTTAATTTTATGTTAAAGCAGCTCACTGCACAGAGGGACAGCAACAGCTAACCCATCAGCCTGCTCGTTGCCGCACACAGCAGAAGAGTCCTGAGCGAAAATCCACAATATGCTTCTTATACCAAACTGACCAATCAGGTCTTTTCCTTAACTGTTTGTTGTATTCTACAGCGTTTCAGTGCAGAGTGTTGTGTTTGTTAGAAGACATACGCTTGGTTAATATAAATGTAGGTAACCTTTGAATTTCGCCAGCATTCCACACCTGCTGTGGATTCAAGCTGTGAGACACATTTGACTAATTAATATCTTTTTTTTTTTTTTTTTTTTAGTTAGTCATGCGTCTTGTTTCTGCAACGAAACGACGTCGTCACCTGGAAGTGACAGTTTTCATTCCCGGTAAATATAGCTTTCTATTTTTATATTGTCTAGTGTGTAATTGTATATTTCAACTTCTGTATAAGAATGCCGATTTATGTTTACTTGTTTATTTGTTACACTTAACTCTTATCGAGCCGTGTAAGCCTCTCTGAGCACAAGATACCCGTTCATATTTTCCCAACTGAAGACAATCACTCGACACCTAGGCAACAGTCATGAAGCAACCAGGCAACAATCATTCGACACCCAGGCAACAGTCATGAGACAGCCAGGCAACAATCACACGACACCCAGGCAACAGCCACAAGACAGCCAGGCAACAATCATTCTACACCCAGGCAACAGTCATGAGACAGCCAGGCAACAATCACTCGACACCCAGGCAACAGTCATGAGACAGCCAGGCAACAAGTCACCCAGGCAACAGCACACAGTCCAGCCAGGCAAACAGGTCATATCAGCCTCTACACCCAGGCAACAGTCATGAGACAGCCAGGCAACAATCACTCGACACCCAGACAGCAGTCATGAGACAGCCAGGCAACAATCACACGACACCCAGGCAACAGCCACAAGACAGCAGGCCACAACCCATCACGAAAAAGCCAAAGAAGCTGTCTCACTCGACACCACATCTGAGACAGCCAGGCAACAATCTCACTCGACACCCAGGCAACAGTCATAGCCAGCCAGGCAACATTCATTCAACACCCACAACGGGAAGCCAGTAAAAAATCGATCGACACAGGTTCAGCAGTCAGGTGACCAGGCATCCAACGACACCCAGGCAACAGCCACAAGACAGCCAGGCAACAATCACTCGACACCCAGGCAACAGTCATGAGGCAGCCAGGCAACAGTCATGAGACAGCCAGGCAACAGTCATGAGACAGCCACACGAGGAGCCAAAGAAAGCTGTCTCACCCACATCTGAGGTAGGTTGTCAGAAGCCATAGCCACCCGCTCAACATTATCAGTATCGACAACGGGAAGCCGTAACCGATCCAGGTTCCAAAGGTGACAGGATCCACCAACCCATACCGTTGGTAGAGACTGAAAGAAACCGATTAAAATGTGAACTGGAGTTTTTAAAATGCAGGCACAAATCGTAGTAGTAGTAGTAGTAGTTGTAGTAGTAGTAGTATAGTAGTAGTAGTAGTAGTAGTAGTAGTAGTAGTAGTAGTAGTAGTAGTAGTAGTAACAGTTAGTGAAAGTAATAGTAGTAATAGTGAACAAAGTAACAGTAGTAATATTAGTAGTATCGATAGTAGTAGTTACAGTAGATGCAGTACTAGTTGTTTTTTGCCGTTGTTAAAAAAAATAGGAGTCTTTGTAATAATACTATTAATAATAGCACGTCGTTGTAGTAATAATAAAAGTAGTCTTAGTAAAAATTATAATATCATTAATCATAGCAATAATAATAGTAATAGTCTTAGTACTAGTAGTAGCAGCAACAGCAGCAGCAGCAGCAGAAAAAAATCGAAGTAGTAGCAACAGTCGTGGTATTGAGTGTCGTTGTATCATTGTCATTATTGTAGTAATAGCAGTAGCAGTCATAGTAGCAGTAACAAAAGTAGCAGCCGTCGTAGTAACATTAGTAGTGGTAGTAGTAAAAGTAGTAGGAGTCGGAGGAGGAGGAAGAGGAGGAGTAGCATAATTAGCTACCGTAGTTGTATATGAGTAGTTGAACCAATAGCAGTAGTAAGAGTAACAGTGTAGTAGTTGGAGTATTAGTAGAAGCAGCAGCAGTAGTAGTATTAGTAGTAGTAATAACAATGCTGGTAACCGTAGTAGTGGCGGTGGTGGCAACATCAGTAATAATACCAGTGGTAGTTGCAACAGTAGTAGTAGTAGTGGTAGTGGCAACATTAATAATAATAACAGTAGTAGTAGTCATTCGAGTAGTAGTCGTAATATTGGTGTTTGTGGTGGTGGTAGCACTTGTAGTGGTACAGCAGTAGTAGTAGCAGAAGTAGCAGCAGAAGTGGTAGTGGTAGCAATAGTGGTAGAAATAGTAGTACTATTATCACTGGATCCAACACAGCGTTTATCTGTGACCTTCACCTGTCGTGATCTATCGCAGCAACACAATGACCAAAATGAACGAAAGACTGAATCTGATACGTGATTGCCCGTGATAGCTGCCAACTTACTCGTCTGCCTGCCCCTTCAAGACCAGATTAGGGCCCGTCCCTGTCAGGCTAGCAATGCCACCAGCGTTGGAGGAGTAGCAGATGCTCAGCGACATGGCTTTGCAGAACCTCTTGTAGGCCGGATCGTCCTCCAAGACCTGCTGAGCCATTTCCACGTCAGCTGTGACCTTCGGCTGGGCCTGATCGTTAGCTTCAGTTCTTTCTTTGTCTAAGCTTGCCCTGCGAAAAATATGCATTCAGACTTCGTGAAAGATCCGTATCTTTCTGGCTACCATGTAGATCTCTATATCTAATCTTTGGATCACATTCTTTCTTTAGACTACGTGAAAGATCCTTGTCTGTTTGGCTGCCATGTACCTCCACATCAACGTCTCTATATCCAATCTTTGTGGCACATTCGTCTATTTGGACTAAGTGAAAGATCCTTATTTTGTTGGCTGCCATGTAACTCTACATCATATCTCTATATCTAATCCTTGTGTCACATTCTTCTTACATTGACTTTACAATTGTCCCTTCCCCCCCCCCCCCCCCCCCCCAAAAAAAAAAAAAAAAAAAACATGTTGATGTGGAAAGACTATCAGAATACCGTTGAGAAAAAAGATAAGTCATACCTACATTCTAAAAGATTTGAACATCAGGGAAAATTTGCTACTAAACAGCATCTTGTTCTCGGAAACTGAAGTAGTTTAATCACATCAGGCACCACGGCGGATTGGACAGAATAATAGCAGAAGAGATGGTACCAGGAAAGAGGTGCAGAGGCCGATCAGCACGAAGATGGACACAAGATATAAATGACACCTTGAGTATAAAAGTACATGAGGCGGGAGAGCTGGCGAGAGACGGGGATTCTTTTCGGCAGACTGTGATAAGAGTGACTTTCAGAAACATTCATGCTATATGACTTAAACAAATTTTGGTAATTGAAACATAAACATATGCTGTTAACCCAAATGAACATTTAAGTATCTTTTTTGAGAATACTTGGTTTGACCAGCTTTTTGTCCAGTCTTCTCTTTTGTTCATCGGCTGTAGGCTTCGGCGGAAAGTCCTGGTTTTAGTCCATTTAGACTAGCCTTTTGCCAGGGCCTGAGTTTTGCGTGCACTTTCGTTTTACTTAACTTATTTGTGTGCATTTCTTTGTTCCTTACAGCTCGGGTAGATGCACTCCGACTTCGAAGGAAGTTTCTAATCAGTTCATTGGAGATCAGGACTCAAGCGCGACTAAGTAACTGAGTGGATTTGGAAATCGACGTGAGACCACTCAGAACATTGCTATTAATGCTCCATCCCGATCTTCAGCAGCATGTGAGGTGTTCTAATTTCAATAGTTTCAGAAACCGTTTGACTACCTGCATCTTGTCATTCCATTTACAAATACACTGTACATACAGACAGATATAGGCAGGCATACAGAGATGCCTGACAGATAGACAGTCATAGATATACAGACAGACAGACATATAGCCAGACAGAGATAGCCACAGACAGGCAGAGAGACAGACAAACAGCTAGCCAGACAGACCACACATACTTTCTGTCTTTACGGTCGGAGGCTTGTTGTGTCCCATTAGCAGAGGGAAGTACCTGCAGTTCCATTGTTGCTCCACCTAGAAATGAAACGTTCAGCTAGAGCTTACAGTAATTCACTCACATGCGGTCCTGACCGTTGTCGTAATGGTGTAAAGATATCAATGTGTGTGTGTGTGTGTGTGTGTGTGTGTGAGAGAGAGAGAGAGAGAGAGAGAGAGAGAGAGAGAGAGAGAGAGTTTTTGCATGTTCCTGTGTTTAATAGTAGTAACAGTTGTTAGAATTGCAGTAGTAGTGGTGGCAGTCGCCAAAGTAGTAGTAGGGGTTGTGGTAGTGGTGGTAGTAGTGGTGTTGATGGTGGTGGTAGTAGCAGTGGTCGTGGTGGTAGAAATAGTAGTAACAGTAGTAGTCGTAGTATTAGTAGTAATAGTCGTAGTACCTGTAGCAATTGTAGTAGCAGCAGTGGTGGTGCTAGTTGTTGTTGCAGTAGTAGTAAAAGTAGTGGTACTGGAAGTAGCAGCAGTAGTGGCAGTATTACAAATGGTGGCGATAGTACTAGAAACTACCATTTTTCTCCTGCTTTATATTGTTTGAACAAATATTGAGGTTGGTGGTGGTGGTGGTTATAGTAGTAGCAGTAGTAATAGTAGTAGTAGTTGTTGTTGTTTTTGTGGTAGTAGTAGTAGTGGCAGCAGCAGTAGTAGTAGTGGTAGTAGTTTTAGTAGTCGTGTTGGTGGTGATGGTACTAAATTATACCGTTTTCCACCTGCCTTATATTGTTAGAAGTACTAGTTCTTGTGGAACGGCTTGGTTGTGTGTGCTTTTCATGACAAATTCTGGTACTCTTTTTACTCAGGGTGGTCTTGGGAGTCTGGTCAAGTTTAGGGAGGGTTGCCTTGAGCGTCTGGTCAAGTTTAGGTCGGTAGTCTGGGGAGTCTAGTAACGTTTAAGGTGGGTCGTATTTGGGGTTAGGTCAAGATTATGAAAATCGCGACCTAGTTGCACGTTAATAATTTAAAGCAATAATCTGTTTTGTTTGCACCGTGGCAATTACTGTTTAATTGCACTTTACATTTCTCTTTCGTTCGTATCCCTTGCGGTCAAACACTTGTGTATAGTCAATAAAAAGCTCAAGCCGCTATCTGTTTTTCATTGTTTTATGTTTACTTGTAAAACCTCTGTTGAATTATACACGGAGAGTGTTTTCAGGGTTGTTAGTTCTCTTTACTTAGGAAATCAACATTACTGATTATACTTTTTTTTTTTTTAATTTTCAACCTCTTTTATTATTCTCCTAATAATTATTCTCTCTTACTGTCGTGTGCTGTGTAGTGTATTGTGTCGTGTGCTGTGTAGTTTGTTGTGTAGCGTGTTGTGTCGTGTGTTGTTTTGTCTGCTGTGTAGTGTTCTGTGCAGTGTGCTGTGTAGTTTTTTTGTGGCGTGTGCTGTGTAGTGTGTTGGGTAGCGTGTTGTGTCGTGTGCTGTTTTGTCTGCTGTGAAGTGTTCTGTGTCGTGTGCTGTGTCGTGTGCTGTGTCGTGTGCTGTGTCGTGTGTTGTGTAGTGTGTTATGTCGTGTGCTGTGTCGTGTGCTGTGTCGTGTGCTGTGTTGTGTTCTGTGTCGTGTGCTGTGTCGTGTTCTGTGTAGTGTGTTGTGTAGTGTGTTATGTCGTGTGCTGTGTCATGTGCTCTGTCGTGTGCTATGTCGTGTTCTGTGTCGTGTGCTGTGTCGTGTTCTGTGTAGTGTGTTGTGTAGTGTGTTATGTCGTGTGCTGTGTCGTGTGCTCTGTCGTGTGCTGTGTCGTGTGCTGTGTAGTGTGTTGTGTAGTGTGTTATGTCGTGTGCTGTGTCGTATGCTGTGTAGTGTGTTGTGTCGTGTGTTGTGTCGTGTGCTGTGTAGTGCTGTGTCGTGTGTGTCGTGTGTTGTGTCGTGTGCTGTGTAGTGTGTTGTGTCGTGTGCTGTGTAGTGTGTTGTGTCGTGTGCTGTGTCGTGTGCTGTGTCGTGTGTTGTGTAGTGTGCTGTGTAGTGTGTTGTGTCGTGTGCTGTGTCGTGTGTTGTGTCGTGTGCTGTGTCGTGTGTTGTGTAGTGTGCTGTGTAGTGTGTTGTGTCGTGTGCTGTGTCGTGTGTTATGTCGTGTGCTGTGTCGTGTGCTGTGTCGTGTGTTGTGTCGTGTGCTGTGTCGTGTGCTGTGTCGTGTGTTGTGTCGTGTGTTGTGTCGTGTGCTGTGTCGTGTGTTATGTCGTGTGCTGTGTCGTGTGCTGTGTCGTGTGTTGTGTAGTGTGCTGTGTAGTGTGTTGTGTCGTGTGCTGTGTCGTGTGTTATGTCGTGTGCTGTGTCGTGTGTTGTGTAGTGTGCTGTGTAGTGTGTTGTGTCGTGTGCTGTGTCGTGTGTTGTGTAGTGTGCTGTGTAGTGTGTTGTGTCGTGTGCTGTGTAGTGTGCTGTGTCGTGTGTTGTGTCGTGTGCTGTGTAGTGTGCTGTGTAGTGTGCTGTGTAGTGTGTTGTGTCGTGTGCTGTGTCGTGTGCTGTGTCGTGTGCTGTGTAGTGTGCTGTGTAGTGTGCTGTGTCGTGTTCTGTGTAGTGTGTTGTGTCGTGTGCTGTGTAGTGTGTTGTGAAGTGTGCTGTGTAGTGTGCTGTATCGTGTGCTGTGTCGTGTGCTGTGTAGTGTGTTGTGTCGTGTGCTGTGTAGTGTGCTGTGTCGTGTGTTGTGTCGTGTGCTGTGTGCTGTGTAGTGTGTTGTGTCGTGTGCTGTGTGCTGTGTAGTGTGTTGTGTCGTGTGCTGTGTGCTGTGTAGTGTGTTGTGTCGTGTGCTGTGTGCTGTGTCGTGTGCTGTGTGCTGTGTAGTGTGTTGTGTCGTGTGCTGTGTGCTGTGTAGTGTGTTGTGTCGTGTGCTGTGTCGTGTGCTGTGTAGTGTGTTGTGAAGTGTGCTGTGTTGTGTGCTGTGTTGTGTGTTGTGTCGTGTGCTGTGTAGTGTGCTGTGTAGTGTGCTGTGTAGTGTTCTTGTGAAGTGTTGCTGTGCTGTGTAGTGTGCTGTGTGGGCTTGTGTGTGCTGTGTCGTGTGCTGTGTCGTGTGCTGTAGTGTTTGTGTCGTGTGCTGTGTGTGTGCTGTGTGTGTAGTGTCTGTGCTGTGTGTGTGTAGTGTTGTGTAGTGTGCTGTGTGCTGTGTAGTGTGTTATGTCGTGTGCTGTGTAGTTTGCCGTGTAGTGTTCTGTGACGTGCCCTGTGTCTTGTGATGTGTCATATATTGTGTCGGGATTCAGATGTTAATATTAATGCTGAGCTAGCAATTAACCCTTTCTGTCTGGTGGCCTAGAAATAAAGGGTGTGGGTTTAAATGGACTTGCTTGGGATGTCCGGTTTTCCGCTGAAAATATTTGTTTCATGTCCTGTGTAATGGCTTGAGATATTATGGTCATCCTACCTTTAGTGTTTCCTAACCTCCAACCCACACCACTTCATTAGAAAGGTAAACACTGAGGCTTAGCTATACCCAGTCTCAAAAGAGGATGTACCTCTCTACTGCTGAAGAAAGCATGATTATTCAAATTCTTCAGTGTTTAATCTTAAAAGGCAGTCGGCATGTTGTGCTGTGGTTTAAAGCAGGCTGTGATATTTTCCTCTTTCTGCTTAACACATTCGATTTAAACAAACTCGTAATTAGCTCGTAATTTAGGATATGCGTTGTTGGAAGCAGCTGGTATACTCCCCCCCTCTCTCTCTCTCTCTCTCTCTCTCTCTCTCTCTCTCTCTCTCTCTCTCTCTCTCTCTCTCTCTCTCAAGACAGATGTCTTGGAACGCTAGTATCCCTGACAATGTGAGCCAGAAACCAACAGTCTGAATAAAAATCAGCAAGATCTGTGAAACGGATGCACACGCAAAACTCAAGTTCTGGAACAAGACCAAAGCACAGAAGCTGATAAACAACCAGAATTGTCTGTCTCAGTTAAGGGACTTGGGTGTGTTGCTGACCCTCTCATCCACCAAATACTGACTGGGCTGTACAATTTAGGTCTAGCCCAATGTGCCCAATATGCCCGAAGGCGTGGAAAAAATGTCCTTTACTGTTTTATTTTACTTAAGTGCCGTTAACTAGAAGAAGAGAAAGAAGAAAGAGACGAAGAACAAAAAGAGAAAGAAGAGGAAGAGTAAGAGGACAAGATAAGACTTAACAGGCTGCTTACCTTGTTTTTTCCTTGTCTGTCCTCCCTTCAACTGTTCCATGATGGCTTCAGATATGGGGAGCATCATGGCCGTGGTGGCGATGTTTGAAATCCAGATGGACAGGAACCATGTTGCCGTCATCATACCTAGCAACAGCCTAGACACAACAACAAACATATGTCGTGATCATGCCTAGCAACAGCCTAGACAACTACAACAAATATATGTCGTCATCATGCCTAGACAAGAACAAACATATGTCGCCTAAAAACAGCTTAGACTGTATTCTTAAAAAAATACTTAATTAAATGTTCATTTGGGTTAACAGCATATGTTTATGCATCAACAAATATACGTCGTGATCATGCATATAAACAGCCTAGACAAGAACAATAAACATGTCGCTATCAACAATCATATGTCCCCTAACAACAGCCTAGACGACGAGAACAAACGTATGTCGTAATCATGCCTAGTAATAGCCTAGGCATACAACTGACGTTGTAAACTGAAAACAGTTTTTCCTCCTCCTCCTTAAAAGGAGGAGGAGGAGGAAAAACTGTTTTCAGTACTTATGGCAAAAAAGAACACATTATAACGTTTCCCATAAAGTACAGAGGATTACGACTAGTATTCCAAAGAGACCTCCATTAGACATATACTAAATGTATATATGTTTATGTTCTGTTTCGTCACGCAATGCACTCACACAATTATTCGATCAAACAGCAACGCTCTGTATAGAAAAATAAAACACACACACGTACAAAAGGCAACATATGTAAAGAACACGTACAATACAGAAACCACACAACCTTGTAAACAGACCCATTTTAACACTCAATAAAATTAATTTACATTGTGTGGAAAAGCGCTCCCCCTTACGAAATACGCCTGGCCAAATCAAAGGGAAACAAAACAAACTGGAAACAATAAGTAAGACGAGGGAGACACGCGCAAGTGACAACAGGGTGGAGGACGAGCGGTCTGATTCGGATGGAAGCATCAAGCCCAGAAATGGCACAAACACTAGAATTCAGTCACGAAAGTGACGCAAATAACCCAGACCACAAATATAGGTGGAGACTGCTAGCAGCCTCGGCTAATTAGCAGCAGTAAGAACGTGGTCGAGCTTTTCATTTTTTTTCTCCTCAAAAGGACAAGGACAAGGTGTAGCTTGGCCTGCTACTTTCCTCCTCTAGAGAAAGTCATTAATGTCAAAATATCAGTATCTTAATATAGACTAAAAATTTACGACTGACTGACTTTCTACCCCACCAGGACATCACACAAGCGATAAACACCCGATGACACAATGTGTCGCCATGTGGATGAGGATCACCGTGAAGGGGTCCCAGAAACCGCGTTTAGCCATTAGGCCGTATATATAGCCCGGCTATATTGCGGCCCCTGGAAAAAGCCAGGGTGGGGCGTCAAGAAACAAAAAAATTCATCCCTAAAAAAAGGACGGTAAGTATTGAAAAAAAAAAGGTACAACTGTGGTTAGTTTCTCAACTGCTTGGGGGTGGGGGGGGGGGGGGGGGGGGGGGGGGTGAAGTTACTGAGTAATTTTGATCATTCGTTGCTCAGTTTTGGGGCTAATTTTAAATAGTTTGTAGTATATAATTATGAAGCCTGTTTAATGCTTTCGTAGGTAAAACTCAAAGTACAAACAAACAGTATCCTTGGCTTATCTCAGTCGTCCCCGTGTGTGATGCCATTTGTCGTTATTTGAAGCCTTACTGTAGCTTTTACAGGGAGCCCGGAATACGGCCGACCCATAAATATGGCTAAACGGCTGAACGGGGTTTCTAGGACCTCTCCGCGGGTGAACCTCACACCACATGGCGGCACTTTGTATCACCGGGTGTTTATCGCTTGTGTGATGTCCAGGGTACAACTTACCCTACCTTGTATCCTTGGCGTTTTATAGGCCTGATTTTTGTGGGTTCAGATTTGGGCATGCAGGCCCGTCTAACACTCTGCCCTTCTAATCTTCCCCCTTTCATAGAGCATTTCATTCATGCATCAATTGATTGATACATCATTTCATTCATACATCATTTCATTCATACATCAATTCATTGATACATCATTTCATTAACAAGCAATACTAAAAATTATCAACAGCACCAAATATTATATACAAGCACTGGAATGTGCTCGAATTACACCTACATTTTTAACTTGAGGTCTGAGGTTTGAACAACGGAACAATATCATAGCATACTGGTAGTAACCCATAAATGCTCCGTTCTTCTTCTTACTGAAGTCTGAGTCAGAATAAGCTCAGCACAGTGCACATACTCTGTAGCACTGGTGAGGCTCTTGAAATACTTTAGGTAGATTTTAAACTCCATATGTTACATGGACAGCGCCGTCAGGCTACTCTTTTTAATTTCCACTGCCGAGGGATTTTTTTTAAGTTGCGCAACAATGCACACTGGCGTCAAACTCACTACCCAGAGACCAGGGGAAATTACTTGAAGTCCAACTGAAAAAATCCCAGCCCTTACCGGGGATTAAACTCGAAACCTCTAGCACTCGAGGCAGCCACCGTGCCTCGAGACCACGCAGCCCCTATAATTTTGAATTAATTGTCAATAATGATGACTAGCGAGGAGTTGCTAGCTAAAAAAAATTAGTTACTAAACATATACATTTCATTATAATAATAAAAGACAAACTGACCATTTGGGTTCGGTTCCAACGAGCATCATGATACGCATGGCCACTCGGGTGTGAATATGCCAGTACTCTATAGCGATGGCCATCACTAGTCCACCGATGAACAGCATACTCGTGTCCTGGGGGAGAAAGATGCAGATGTACTGGACGTCTGACATGGGTTCTCCCCCCCCCCCCTTTCCACCCCCGCTTCTATGAAAATAAGGTCTTACCCGGAAAAAGCTCTACCATGGCTTTTCAAGATGCTCATAATGAAAGTTCCACTCCAAATATAAATCCTATTTAAGATTAGTTTTTGTCATTGCTCACTAAAAGGTCGACTCTTGGTATAACCGCAGGCAAATCACTTGTGGCGGTATCGAACCCGGTACCCCAGCATATTGAAGTGCTTTTGCAGCGCTTAAGCCACAGACGTAGATATTTTCATAGTATTGAATGCAAAACAATTATAAATGAATAATACTTTTGACAATACGATTTATAGAAATCTCTCCGTCAAATACAACACGTCACAGTCCAGGTCTCTGAGCCAACGCCCCGAAAAACCTTCGCCCTGCACGTTTCGTCCGGTCCATCGTCCACCGCGCGGTCAGTCAACTACCCATGAATCCTATAATCTTCACTCGTCAGTCACGATGTTCTTGTCGGAAACTTCCGTGGGCTGTCGAACGCCTAGTCGCTAAGCGGTCATCAAGTGCCCTTCCATCATTCACTATCATCCCCTACAGTCGTCAAATAGACACTCAGGCCTTCGACATAAAAAATAAAATTACACATTTACGTAAATGATAATATAAAGTTAAAAATGTAAAGAGCCATTTACACGCCAGTGGTACGTAAAGTATACAATTCTAGACTCAAATATTTATAGGCCAATCGGCCTTCGAAGGGCGATGGGGTCAACATCATAATGGCCCCCTTTACTTCACAGGACTTCACCTAGTACCCTTCAAAGACTGGGTCGACCTAGCAGCCCAAGTCATGCTTGAAAATAAACCCGGCTACAAGTGGAATTGAACGGACGACCTTGGGCTCCACAGGCGAGAATCTAACCGTTACACCAATGATAATTTAAATGTCGCTAAATGTGGCCCCCACCTGTTTGTTACCCTAGCACCCATGAGAAGCAAAGAACAGTATTACCAGGCATGTCAAAAGAGGCGACTAAGGGTAGGGTAGGGCTTGGGTTTCCCTACCTGTTCTTGTCAACAACAACAAAAAACCAAAAGCTCCCCAAGACTAACCAAAAATGGAAAAGTGAAAAAGACAAACAGGAAATAATCAGCCACGACGAGGGAAGGCTCTTCTAACAGAAGAATGATTGATTACACTGTGCAGAGAAAACCAAAAGCAGTCTGCATCGTTGTAGTACCGCCTATCACTTATGGACAAAACGATCTGACTAAGTTAGTTGGGAACGTATTCCCCACGGGGAAATTGAAAGCAGAAGAATGAGAAGAATGCATGAGGCCCCGGAACCGACACAGGGGGTAGGGTTCTACTTACATTCAAATACTCGGCAGCCACCTCACCAGAAGACATAATCTCCAAGAAAGGAAAGAGGACCACGGGCAGCAGAGAGGTCACGGCAATCGGTAGTGATTCTGTGATCCAGTACACGGCCATCAGCATGATCACATAGGCGCAGTCTGTTTTCTGGAGGAAAGAAAGAGAAAGAGAGAAAGAGAGTGCAAGTATGATAGAATTAATGAATAAATGAATGATATAATGAATGAATGCTGAATAAATAAATAATATAATGTATAAATAAATGATATAATAAATGATATAATAAATTAATGATAGAAGGAATAAATGAATGAATTGTGTAATAAATGAATGAATAAAATAATTAATTAATAATGAAATGAATAAATGAATAACGGATGATAGAATAAATGCATAATAGAATGAATGATAGAAAAATTAAAAAAAATTAATAAATGAATGGTAGAATGATTGTGTGAATGAATTAATAATAAATTGAATGAATGACTAAATATTAGAATATATCAATGTGTTAATACTAGAATGAATGAATGGACCAAGAATTGACATCAATGCTCTCGGAAAATTCAAACACGTGCTCAGTCTCTTTCTTCAACTAACGAAGAGCTGACATGCCAAGAGAACTAGTTGTAACCTGATTAAAATAAAAGTTCGCCTATGTTTCGCCAAATTACCCCCCCCCCCCCCCACCTCCGGTTGAACTAGTCCTTTAGTTTATAGATTCTATGTCTGTTCTTGCCCATTGTCCACTTGTTGCTGTTTAGTACCTCTTAACCCACTGTCCTGACACGGACATGGTTCCAGTCAGACGAGATTTACTCTAGAATGTTATTGCTTCATCATATAGCACATAGGTTCTCAAACTGGGTCACGACGCTTGTTTGGGCCGAACGACCCTTTCACCCAGGGGGTAGCCAAAGGTCATCAGAAAACACATATTCATTGAAGTTATGAAGTAGTAACGAACACATTGTTATGATTGTGGGTCGCCACAACACGAAGAAACTGTATTAAAGGGTCGCTGCATTGCGAAGGTTGAGAACCACTGGGAAAGCAGGTCCTTCAGAGCAGTGGTCTCCAGCCTGGAGGTTGCGGCCACACCTCCACCCTCCTTATAGAGCGCAATAAGCTTTCAAGGCATTTTGAAAGTGAGAGCATTTGTAGTTTGTCATACTACATTTCGTTTTAGTTTAATTTATAAATAAAATACTGTTTAACTTATATTAAACAAAACAACGAAATTTTTGCTTTCTTGAGCGGTTTGCACATATATAGTTTAAAGTGTAATTAATGTGATAACACACACATATACAATTTAAAGTGTAATTAATGTGATAACACGCGCATTTAATAATAAATTAAGAACACATTGTGACCAAAACGTGTCTCCATACTCTCTGTTTCTCTTGTTGTGGTGGAATTTGTTGTACTTCTTTTTTTAATCATATTTTCTTACATTGAAACAAAGGGGAGAAACAGGTTGAAGGAGGGGGGGGGGGGAGGTTGCCGTATACTCAAGTAAGCATAGAAGGATTGCAATATACTCAAAGTGTAAGTGGCCTGAGGTCGGCCTAGGGGTCTTGTCATATGCTCAAGTGGTTGTGGGAGCCTTACTAAATACTCAAGCTGGTTTTGTCATTTACTAGAGGGGGGCGCTACCTGGAAAGGTTGGATAGCACTGCTTTAGAGTCTATATGACGCACCTTGTCTGCAAATAGAGTTGAGTATGCAATCATCGGCGAGCAGGTCGCCCATTGGATGCCCGGTAGACGACTTCGTCACGGGTCGGGACAGTGTCTGGGTCAGTCGCCTTTGATCGCATCAAAACTGCAAGTGTTCTTTTCAGAGCTACTTTGTGGCGTGCAGTGTTAAGGCATTTTATAAAGCACAAATATTTTTTGTTTGCAGACAGTTGAGAAAAACCAGAGTTCAGCCAAGGACAGATAACCCTCATCTGACAGGGAGATAACCTTGTCTTGTAGTTGGATGATGTCAGCTGTATTTGCCAACACACTTTATCTCTGGGTAGTTGTTCGATAATTTTAACACTTATGATGGCTGTTATTTTTCCTCTACTGTGCTAAAGTGTAAAGGTGAAAAGGTAGAAGACCCGTTTAATGGCAGTGGGGCATTAAACATATGATCCTAGGCCCTTATATATCAATCGGTGCTCCATGAACAATGTTGTCAACTCTTATTTTTTCCGAAATGAGACACAAAATGTATGGTTTTTAAGCCCTACCAAGGCTGGACTTTAGGTAACTTTTTTACCGCTGTCAGAGACCCAATATGACTTTACGATTGGGAGTCCCCGTGGTGAAGCGGCTAGACGTAGCATGCGGAACGAAAAGTCGTGGGTTTGGGTCCTGACTTTACCGGGTTTTCTCCAGACATGACCTGACTCCTAGGCTGACTCAGCCTTGAAGGGGTACCAGCTGCAATCATGGGAAGTAAAGGCAGCCGGATTGATGTTAACTGCATCAACCGCCAAGTGTCGTTGGCTCTACCAAAAAATAGGTCTAGCCCATGTACCCTCGATGACGTGGACAAGATTCTTTACTTCGCTTTACGATTGAACAGAGTTTCATCCGAACGATGGCGCTTTGTGTCACCGGCTGCTAATCGCTCGTTGTTCGGTATTTGTGGGGCTACACCTTTCTCAGCACGCCGGTCACGTTTACTTCCCATGATTTACACGTCACTCTGTTTAGTCTGGATCGACCTGATAGATAGAGTAAAACTCAGTTTAGTCTGGACTGACCTGATAGCCAGAGTAAAACTCAGTTTAGTCTGGATTGACCTGATAGCCAGAGTAAAACTCAGTTTAGTCTGGACTGACCTGATAGCCAGAGTAAAACTCAGTTTAGTCTGGATTGACCTGATAGCCAGAGTAAAACTCAGTTTAGTCTGGATCGACCTGATAGCCAGAGTAAAACTCAGTTTAGTCTGGATCGACCTGATAGCCAGAGTAAAACTCAGTTTAGTCTGGACTGACCTGATAGATAGAGTAAAACTCAGTTTGACCTGATAGCCAGAGTAAAACTCAGTTTAGTCTGGACTGACCTGATAGCCAGAGTAAAACAAATCTGAATATTTTTTGCAGCACATTGTCATCCACAAAGCGCATGTGTGCACAATTTGAGCTTGATAGCTTATCGGGAAGTAGTGTAACAATCAAAGGACAAGTTTTGACGAGACAAACATTTGTGCATATAAACATAAAAATCTTAACCTAATAAAAGTTTACAATCAAGACCTGCCATTCCTTCTAACATTTCCAGGCACATATCACGAAAATCACCCCATATCGTCGGGTGCGAGATTTCACACAGGCTGTCCTGTGTTCTAGGGATGTCGTGTTATGTTAATATCCACGCTTTAAGCAGTCTATATTTCACGTTGTCAGTGGCCAGAACGTTCTATTTTCCACGTTATGAGCGATTGGCACTGTGTGTATTTAATGCATTGTGCGTTCGATCGTCATTGCTATCACTGTGGCCCTGACCCAGGGCTCGCCCCAAAATGTCACCAATTCTCAAAGCAGTGACGGTTGCACGCGCACATACACGCACACAAATCCAACCAGTGTCGCCTCCCACGAAAGAGAGCTCCACACTTTCGTCCGCGCCTCGAACAAACGGCAGCTGCGGTGTGTATAGACGGCGAAGGCAAAAGGACGTATATCCTATCACCCCTACAACATAGGACAGCCCGTGGGAACCGCGAAGTTATAAATGGAAGCCGGCACGAAATCTCTCAACAGACAGAAGAAAACAATATCCTTAGAGGATTGTCTAAAAGTGGACAGCAGCAAAGAGCTGCAAAAACTGGTAACACAGTTCATTTCCAGGACTTCAAAAAATAAGCCCCCGGACGAGGCCAACACAACAACTGAGGAAACTGACACACCCACGGAAGCGATCAACTCAGTAGCAAGTGCCGCAGCCCAGAGGTCAACAAACACAGATCTTAGTTAAGCTATCACATCTATCTCCATCTTCCGACCTCACTGTAAGTCCTCAAACACTATCTCTCAATTTTCAATTGAGCCTACTCTCACTTATCTCCACTACATCTCAACCATGTGTGGCCAGAAGAAAACTGGATAAAAAATTGAAAAAAGAAAAAAGCCAAACAGCCAAAAAAAAAAAAAATTTGGTTTAAAAAAAAAAAAACACACACAAAAAAGGCACAAAAAAAAAAAAAAAAAGGCTTACGCTCATACACATGTATGGAGCGAAAACAAAAAAGCCAACAAAAAGAAGTTAAATGGGGACCCTGAAAAGGGCCGTGTTTTGGGCTGACCAGAGTGCTATATGATGACGTACCAAGAGGATGCAGTAGTGCGGCAAGGCGACGACGGGCGTGACAAATACAAATAACAGCTCAAATATCGAGCAAAAGCTAAGGCGTATGGACACGCCGCAAATAAGGAGGAAAATATTTTATTGGAGAACAAACTCCAAGCACACAAACAAAGCCACGATATAACCAACGCTCAATCTAGGAGACGGTTGAAATAGGCAAGAAGTTTTTCGTTTTTTTTTACTAACACCAGTTACCAGTTACCATCTCGCGCCTGACGAGTTTGTGTGATTCTTGTGATATTTACTAATTCGCACAATACACCGACTGTTTGCATCTAATCTTTCTAATCTGTTGTTTTATTTTTTCCTAAATTTTCTGCTTAGTACCACTAGGCTTCGCAGGCTAACATATGATCAGTATCTGAGCTAGGGTGCGTTTGGTTGGCCAGTATGCTGTGATGTTTTGAATGTTTCAAGATATCAGTGACTCGTTAAATCCATTTTATTCTTGGTCGTGCCTCCCTTTTTTTGTGTTTATACTTTATATTTCTACTTGTAATTAGTGAAATGCTTTCGCGTGTCTGGAGCAAGACTGCTTAGTTTGTTTTTCTATAGTTCCATGATATTATTTCTAAGTAAAACCGCCAGCTTAAAAAAAACTAGACCGCGCAACAGATATCTTATCAGATTGCACCAAATTCAGTCAGGAACAGGAGACAAAATGGTTCAACCATTTCGGCAGAATGCAGACAGAACAGCTGTCAACACAGGCGCCAGACTAAAAAAAAATCAGGCAAGACAGCTAGACCA